GGGGAGGTTATGCATGTGTCAGAGCAGGTGGTATATGGGAGATCTCTGTACCTTCCTCTCAATTTTGCTGTGAATCTAAAATTGCTCTAAAATAATAAAATCTTTAAAAAATTTGAATGCTCATTACTTCTTGTTTGGAAGTCATAGTGAGAACTAGGTCACCAAATGAGTTTTCATTTTTAGTCTTTGATACCAACTCCATTAAACTTTTGAAAGAAATAAATCTGTCATAAAAATATCTCACTTCTGCACAGTTTCCTCTGTGGTCTACACATGATGGTGTCTCTCTAATTCTGAAAGGCTTTTCCCACCATTCCTATCTTCTGACAGAGGGGTCAATTATCTGTCTGTCTAGGCAATTGCATAAACTAATAACTTAGTACATCTGTAATTAGTTACATGCATGCTAATCGAGAGAATGTCACTTTCCTCCACTATATGATAAACTCCACTGAGGTTGCAGCCAACAGGTCTATTCTGTTTTACTGCTATTTCAACTAGTATCTAGCATAGGGTCTGGCGTATGGCAGGTGCTCAATAAATATTTGGTTAATTAATACAAAACATGAACAAAAACAACAAAAAAGATGAACTGGGAGGACATTTTGCTAAGTGAAATGAGTCAAACAAAGACAAACACCAGATGCTATCACTTACATGTAAAATCAAAAACAATAAATAAATAAAGTCAAACAGAAACAGAGAGCAGAAAAGTGGTTGCAGGGTCTGCAGGGTGGAGGAAATAGGGAGAAGCTGATAAAACCTTCAGTTATAGAATGAATAAGGTCAGAGGATCTAATGTATAACATGTTGAATATAGTTGATAATACTGTATTGTATAATTGAAATGTGCTAAGAGAAGAGAGCTTTAATGTTATTGCCTAAAAGAAAAAAAGGTAAATACATGAGGTGATAGATGTGTTAATTAATTGGATGGGGTGATTCTTTTACAATGTATATATATATTAAATCATCATATTTTACACTTTAAATATAATTTTATTTGTCAATTAGGCTTAAATAAAGCTAGAAAAAATGAGAATAATAAATAGAATTTAAAATCCATCAATCCCTACTTAGCTTAGTATCTTGTAAATAATATGCTTCAACTGTATTGCAATATTTGCCCAACCATATTCCATGAAATGTATTCACTGTAAATGCTGTCACAGTGTCAAGCATTCAAAGAATAAGAGCTTGGCATCATCAGTATGATGACTGGTTCATTTAACAAACAGTTGTTTATTGAATGTCTAGTATGTTTCTAGCATGGCGCCAGTCACAGTGCACACAGAGGTAAACCAATGAAAAATGATTCTTTCCTTCTTAATACCAGGTCACACTAGCCTACATTTGTAGGACTGACAGGTCATTTTGATTTATCCCCTTGAAAGGTTTCATACAATTCTTGATCACTTACTTCCTGGTTCACTCCAAACCTTAGTAAAGGAACGCAGTGAGCTATGTAAACAATTGCTTTTTTGGGTAATTCATTTATTTTTAGTTTACAATAAGTCATCTCCCCCATACCCCACTTTTTGAGTGGATTTTTTTTTGCTCTGCCTCCTCTCTTCTCATACCAGGGGAAACTCAGTTTTCCTGGGTGACTTTTTCATGGGCTTTATCATCTCCCACTCCTAACTTAGAGGGCATGTGGGGAAACTGACTCTTGGCCCCTGACTATGTCTTCTTGTCTCTGTCTTAAATGTAAAGTTAGTATCATCCATTTACTTTATGCCACTCAATTCTAATCACCCTTAATCTTGCATTCATCTTTAGTATTCACTTTTACCTTCTTAGATATTTTACCACTTGGTTCACATTTTTCCTTCCAACCCTTGATTGTTTTTTTCTTTGAAATTTAAACCGCATATGCTATTATGGGAGGAAGCATAATGCCTAAGAGCACAGATTCTGGAGTCACCCATTTGGGTTTGAATCCTGAGTCTAACACTTAACTGTGATTTAAAGCAATTGAATATCTCTGTGCCTTAGTTTTCTTATTTGTAAAGTAAGTACTAATAATATCTACATTAAAAGGATTACATGAGTTAGGACCCATAAAACACTTAAAAAGTTACTGGCACATAAGAAATCTCTAAAATGCCATTACCATTATTATCCTTGGTAACATCAATATCCAAATTGTTAACTATTGACTTTTAACTTCTGGACATATTGGATCCACACATAGTTCAACCTTCAACCAGCTTGTCCCCAGCCCTACTTTACTCTGAGATTTCAAATGTTGTACTTCTCTCCAAATACAAAAATCCTTCCTCATTCTTCTCACTCTTGAAAACTCGCAGAAACTTCTCTCTCTTCTCTTGCCTTTAATCACTGATTCTCTCCCACTGATTCCAAACATTAGCAATCTAGCTTCCCAAATGTTAACTCCCGTAATTTCTTAATACGAGTCTTAATTAGTCTAAACTTAATCTCTCTTCTCTTCTTTGAACACATACACTTAAAAGCTCTCAATGCCCAGAGATTGATAATCTTATCTGTTCTTTAATAACTAAATTTATATCTTCCATGAAACCTTTTCCCATCATTCTAGAACATACGCATTCCATCCTACAACCACCTTCCCCCTGCTCAAAACACACAAACTCCCAAACTGCACAAATCTTATATACTTTACAGAACTGTTTATCTGGGCATTTACTGAAAATCTCTACATCCATATATGTTACCTCCTCCACTCTTTTATAAGCTTCTTTAAGGTAAAAGCAATACCAATTGAAGCTCCAATATGCTAGCCACTCTTTTAAAACTTTACATTTATTGATTCATTTAATCTTAATAACAAGCTTAAGAAGTAGATACTGTTATGCTCATTTTATGTCTAAGGTAGAGAGAGGTGAAGGTCAGGAAAAGAATATATTTGGCACAGCTCTAAATATGAGATGTATAATAATTGCTGAATGAATGAACTTACTCATATAGTTTTGTAATCTTGCTCTAGTTTCATGAATGATGTATCCGTATTTATCTAGAGTCCCTCTTTGTAAATATTGCCAAATAAAGATGCTTCATTTCTACGACTTAAGACTAAAACAGGACCATGACAACATTAGAGGTCCAAAAAATGTTTTCTACGAGTCGATCTGGGAAGGCATCTTTTAGGGTTTTGGTACTAGTGTGATAATAATGGTGTAAAAGCATTTGTAATTTAGTTAGGTAGCACTTAGTTCTATGTGCAATATTTGAATTAACTTCCAAGGATTAAATAGCATTTATAACATATCTACTTGTTCACACAATCTCTGACTAAGAAACACTGCAATGAAAGATTATCTAATCTATGTTGACTAACTATCAACTAGTAACTACTTTTGTGCTTTTTGGAAACTCAGATTTATGTGGGATTTCTTATCTGTAAAAAGAAGGAGCTGGGATAGAATAAACTGGCCTTTAAGGGATTCTAAGATGGACATTCACTTATAAAATTAGTCTACCTTAAGTAGACTATGAGAATGAAGGAAATCATGTTAATGCAGACGGAAATGCTCAAGAAACCAGAACCAAAGTCAGTTAGAAACAGTAACTCCAAATATGCAGTGGAGACTAGAACTTCCACACAAATAACTTCCATCTGTAACTATGACTAATGGATGTCAATGGAAAAGTTAAGGCCATTCTAAGTTGTCCCATTTTCTCACGTACCTCTTTTCACTGTGCCTCAATTAATTTAAAATGCAGTTAAGATCCCCTGAAGCTGAATACGTATGTTCAACATCTGTTAAACACATTCATCATTTGGGAAAAAATCATTCTAGCAATATACAAGGCAAATATTTTTATGAAGAATTAGTTTCAGTAGGAGGAATACAAATCTGTTAATAAATAGTTGGGAATCATTTTTACCAAAAAGTCGTTAATAGTTGTAAAGAATCACCTGTTAGGCATCTAAAGGAAACTTTTTTGTTAAATGCCATTTAGGTTAGTATTATTTTGGTGTAAATGAGCATTTGAAAGCTCCTTTTAGATAAAAATTCCCCACTCCCTTCTTTCCTGCTTTATAAGTACAGGGCTCTTGACATACAAAGACTTAACAGAAAGCAACAAACAAACAAACAAACACATGCAGACATTCACATCTTTGGTTCCTTGTCTAGGTGTGACCTTAGAACTCCAGAGAAAACCCCAAACTCATTTCAGCTCATTATAAAATATACTTATTGTTAGAATTCAAATGTGAAATGATCTCAAAATGTTTTATTTTCACATATGTAATTGGTTATTTAGCATGTAGCATAGCTAGAAAGAAAACATTTTCTATGAAAGTACTAATCTCAAATATACTACATAAGCCAGTTCAAAATTATTAGATACATATGTAATTTGGATAGTGTTAAAAAATGAAAGTCTTACTTAAAGCAACATACTTCTCAATAAATGATATTACTGTGATGTCCAAATTTTTCATTTTCTTTAAACTGTTTATTCCTATCTTCTTACCCACTTATAAAAATACAATCAATGAAAAAATTGAAAAATTATTTAGAATTACCATTATATGGGTATTACATAAATATGTATGTAGTGAAAAGAGAAAATCATGTATAAAATTTATAACTACATCATATATATATATGCATGTATACACAATACACAATTACATATATGTAATTTTGACTTTTACCATTTTTCTGACCAAAAATTTTTAATATATACTATATGCTATATAATAGAACTATGAAAATATGACTAGAACAAAGCTATTTCTTTATAGTTAATGAACAGTAGTACTGTTCCCAAGATTAATGTGACTTGTGTCTAACATTGAAAATATAAGTCAAATAGTATGTGATTGTAATATCCAACTATATTCAACTCTGAGTATTATAAATAAAAACATTGTGGAAAACATCATCATGATTTAAGTTATATGGAAGTATTTCCATTTCTTAGAAGGATGTGATAATTAAAACCTATAAATATCAGATGGTCTCCATTTACAAGTAAACCAATAATAATGAATCAGGGGGAATTACCTTCCATTGCCCTTTTAAAGAAGACCTTACAGCTCCCACAGGTAAGGACACCGTAATGACATCCTGATGCTTCATCCCCACAGATTAGACAAATCTTCTGAGGTAATGACTCGAAGCTATATTGTGGGCTCTGGCTGGCTTCTGAATCTGGCCTTGAAATGCAAAACAAAGTATTCCATTTATTTTTAGGTGCAACACTATCTAATACCAAAGTTTCTTAACCCTACAATTGACAGAATGAGAGGGGATTATTAAAAAATAGAGGTGTATATACATACACTTGAAAGGCATGCAAAGTACATATGCAAACTAAATCCCTTATTGAATTCACCAGACTTGCAAATTATTAGCCATTCATCAGTAGCATTAATGAAAAGGATCAATAAAAACATACAATTTTAGTTCAGGAAAGTTCAATCGTACTTACCAATGCTTTTGTTTTGAGTTTTAAAACTCAACCCTGTAATGATTGTTTACTTTAAAAAGTTTATGTATTTGTCATTTTAAACATACTGACACTGTTTTGCCTATTCGCATCACTTAAGATTCTTTTTCTTTAAAATTCCATTCTCTCAGTATGTGAAGTATAAATTTTTTTTGAAACCCCGTGTGGAAAGTTATAGCGAATCCTAAACAATTATCAGAATACAGTGCACTGCAGTGGTTGATATTTAAATCCATAATTTAAACATATTACACGAATCAATTTTACTCTTGAGATTCGTTTGAACAGTGAACGGTTCTGGCCGGCTACCCTACCTGTGTCAAGTGCCAACTCCCACAGGGGGAACCGTGCTTTTAGGTCTCTCCGAGACAGACATTTCCAGTAAAAGTCCTTCTAAGACGACAATCATTCAACAAAGCCTCAAACTCGCCGCACCCTTTCCGCTCCAAGGGCTACAGTGGAGCTAGTGTGACGCTGCATATTTTAAGTCAGGGCTGGTCTTACCTGGAACGCGCATATTTGGAAGAAAAATGTTTTCAAAAAGCGCGCTGCACAAAGGGCACATTCTGCGCACCCTTTGGGGCCCCCAAAAAGTGAGGAGAGGAAGGAAGAAAAAGGAAGCCAAATTACCCCGGTGCCCCGCCCAGGCTACCCATCTTCTCGCGGCCACTCGGGGGAGCCTCGGCCGGGAGCCGCGGGCCACTAGCTCTCTGGACCGCTCCTCTCGCGACGTGCGGGCGCGCCCCACCCGGCGGACCCTCACCTCAGGTAGTTGAGATAGGGCGGGTAGACCTGCGACAGGCCCTCCTTGAGCACGGCGGCCGGGTAGCTGAGCTGCGGGATCCCGTTGATGCCGAACGGCGGATAGAGCGCGGGGGCCACGCCGGCGGCGCAGACCGAGGTCGAGGTGGAGGGCAGGCCGTCCCGCGGCAGCAGGCAGGGGCCCCCGCCTGGCGCCTTGCAAGGCTGTGGCGAGAACGAGCCCGGGTGGGGCGGCGTGGCCTCCGCTTTGTACAGCATACACTCCAAGGCCGACCCCGACGGGGAGGGACACGGGACGGAGGCACCGGCGGGTGCGGCGGCCGCTGCCGTTTCGCCAGGTCTGGACGACGGCGCTCGCGGGGGAAGCGGGGGCGGCGGCGGCGGCGCCGCCAGCTGAAAATCCGGAAAGACCGCGGGGTTGGCACCAGCCACCAGGTACGGCCGCGGGGAGCGCGCGGAGGCCTCGGCGCCTTCCTCCTCCTTGATCTTCAGGGCCGGCGGCTGGAATTCACCGTAGAGCGGGAACGCGTCGTCCTTGGGCTCGGCGTCGGACGGGTACGCGCAGTCGGGGAAGTCGCCGGCGGCGACAGGGGTGGACGAGGCTGAGGGCGAGCCCCGCGGCTGGGCAAGGGCGCTGAGAGCCGTGGCCCCGCCGTCATAGCTCTCCCCCTCCAGCAGCTGCCGGGTGCGCCCGGCCAGTAAGGCCGGGTTGAGTGGCAGGATGGGCAGGTGGATAAAATCCATCACCGTGGTGGTCATCGGGGAGCGCCCGGGCGCCGCTGGCGTGTCTTGCTCCGCCAGGGCGACCCTGGGCGCCGAAAAGCGGGGATCTTCCTTGGGGACCAGGGCTACGCTTCCTTCAGCCACCCCAGGAGCGGTGGCCGGGGCTCCCCCCTCGGTCGCCGTACCTCCCAGAGGCCGGGGCTTGCCCTTCAGAAGCGGACCTCCCGAGCCCTCGGACTCGGAACCATCCTCCTCCTCCACCTCCACCACAGCGGGCTGCTGAGACGGCTTCACTGCGGCCCCAGGCCAGTGATGGGTGCCAGAGGTCGAGGGCAGCAGCTGCCGGGACGGTGACAAGCCCCTGGGCAGTACTTTATAGGCAGCTGCCGTCCCGGAGCTGTCGCCAGCCTTGCTCTCCGGACGGCTCATGAGGGAGGGCAACACCGCCTGGGTGGCAGGGACAGCCTGGGGTTCTTCCGGAAGCTCGGGGCCAAACAGGCACCAAGGGCTGGTGGCCTCGTAGGCGGGAGGGCTGGCGTGGCTCTGCCCCGGACCCGAGGGCACCAGTAGTGTGTCCAAGACACTGTCCAGGAGCCCGCTGTCCTTCTCTTGGGGTCTAGACCTGCCACTACCTGCACCTCCTGTGGCTTCAACTCTGGGATACACCCCCTCCACGCTTGACAGCGCCGGCTGCTCCAGCGTCTTTCCGTCCAGGTCCTGTCCCTGGCAGGGCCTAGAGAAGGGAAGCCCACCCAGGGAGACTACGGGCAAGGCGTCCGAGGTCTGGCTCGCCTGGAAGGGGCCAGCGTCCGGGCGTCCCAGCAGAGGAGATCCGACCTGGTTGGGGGAGGGCGCGCCGGCCACCACGTGGGGAGCCCGGGAAGCCTTTGCCTTCTGCTCTGTCATGATGACCTGACCCCACTTTTCTCCTCCCCTGTCTCTGGGGAGGAGGGATAGGGGAAGGCGGAGGGGGTGTTGGGGATATAGGAGCAGCTGGAGGAGAAAATAGGTGTTGAAATTGGCCAGACCGGGCGGGGTTGGAGGGTGCGGGATCTCCACCTCCTGGGTCAGAAGGGGGCGGTGCTGGTCAGCTACAGCCCTCGCCCTCCATTTGGTTGGCAGGGGAAGGGTGGCAGTTGTTCCGTCCCCGAAGCAAGTGGGGAGAGCGAGACAGGTCGTTGTAGGTCTCCTGTCCTAACTAGGAGAGTTCTCCAAGAGAGTTTTCGGGCTTGAGCCTGAGGATCGGAGACGCGGAGTACTCACGAGTCAGCACTCGAGTGGCAACCGCTGAGAAAGCAGTTAGATGCGGCTCTATCTCCCGACTTTTTTTCTCCAGCTTCAAACCCGCGGTTGCCGTGCAGTTCCCAGTCCCTGACTGCGTTCCACTTCCCTTCTCACTAAAACCCTGGGGCTACTTGGACCTCTCAGTATAGCCCGTGGTCGAGTGGTGTTTCTGCAGGCTCCCTATAGCTGGCGACAGTGTTCTCTCCTCCGCGGCTACTTTTTTTCCGGTCAGTTCAAGAAACTCCTTTGGTCGCAGATTCCACTCAGACGTCTAGTGAAGCGTTCTCATAGAGAATGCTGTTCACGCACCTGGTCCTCGCACGCTCAAGTAGTACAAGGCTTAACTGGAGTAGTGACAGCTTCGGACTGGTCCCACAGCTTTCTAAGAATGCCACCTCCCTATCTGGAGGCCCCGCCCAAAGCCCCTCCCTACCCCAATTACGGACCCGATCTGAAATTCTGGAGTTGGTAATTCCCAACCGCTAGTCTGAATTCCACTCTGAATAGCAGGTGCTGCGAGATGGAGCTTCATAAGCACATTAAATTTTGCACTATCAATTAAGGATTACACCCAACCTAACTGGAAGAACAAATGGATACCATCAGAAGTTGAATTGTCAGGATTTCAGTTTTGTAAAGATTTAACATAGAGGGAGATATTTGGCTATGTTATCTTTTAGAATATATTTATTGAGGATGATCCTAAATAATGTATGAGATTCTCTCTCTCCCCCCTCCCCTCTCTCTCTCCCGAGACTTCCATAAAAATGAGTACTTCCAAATTTCTCTCACTACAGTCATCATGTCCTGCTCTCCTTGAATAAGGTGGCATAGAAGTCTGAGAGTGGAAAATAGTTGACAATACCTCTCTACCTATGTAAACAGTTTCCATGTTGTGTGTCATTCTCTGATTTGTCCTGAGGGATGCATTCCGATTTTTAAAAAATAGCACTTTAGGCGAAGTTTTCTTTAACAGTAGCTTATGGCCTGTGCTAAACCATAAGTTTCTTGAGATATTGAACAGTACTTTCTTCCCTCAACATTCTTATTCTTGAAAATACTTATCTTTGAGTTTTTAAAGCACCTCTTACTTCATAAAGATATGGTAGAGAGAGGAAGAGGTTATTGCAATATATTTGAGTTACAGAGTCATAAACTAACAATCTCTGTGTTGCACCTATAGCCACTGGGTATCTTAGCGTCATTTGAAATATACCATGTTCCAAACTAAATTAATCATTTGGAAAGTTCCTCAAGGTCCTTTCTGTGCTGATGCCCCACAGGTCACATAGAAGTGAAGAGAATTCCAAGGAGCAGATACAATAGGTTCACTGTACCACAGATAGCAAGACATGGGAATTCCAACAAAGCCATTATGGATAGAACAGGCTAACGATGGGAATAGAAAAGGATGAAGTCAGGGAGGGGAACTAATTTATTATTATTACTAATGTTATTGTTGTTTTGGGGCTCTCTCCAATACATTTTAACCTCTGGTACATGTTCTATTGAGATAAAATTCACATACCATATAGTTTATCCATTTTAAAATGTACAATTCAATGGTTTTTAGTATGTTCATAAATGTGTGATCATTACCACTATCAATTTTAGAACACTTGCATCATCTCAAAAAAAAAAAATCCCTAATACCCATTAGCAGTCACTCCTCATTTGCCCCCTAGCAGCTGTTAATCTACTTTCTTTCTGTGGATTTGCCTATTCTGGACATTTCATATTGATGAAATCATTTTATATTTGGTCTTTTTTTACCAGCTTCTTTCACTCACCACAATATTTTCAAGGTTCAGCCATGTTTATAGCATGTATCCTTACTTCACTTCCTTTTTTTGCCAAATATTATTTCTTTGCAGAGATATACCACATTCTATTTATCAACTTATCACGTGGGTTGTTTTACTTTTAAGCTATTATGAACATTCATGTACAAGTTTTTGTGAAAACCTATACGTTCATCTTTATTGGACATATACCTAGGGGTAGAATTATTGAGTCATATAACGACTCTAGGTTTAATCTTTTCAGGAACTGCTACACTTCAAAAATGACTGCACATTTTTACATTCCCACCAGCAGTATATGAGGGTTTCAGTTTCTCCACAGTCTGAGCAACTCTTGCTATTATGTCCTTTTTATTATAGCCCTGACAGTCTGTGTGAAGTGGTTTCACACTGCGGTTTTGATTTACATTCCCCTGACAGTTAATGCCATAGCATCTGTAGAGTCTGGATAGGACTGGCAGGTAGTCTTCTAAGACATTTACATGTGTTAACTTATTTAATCCTTCAGCAGTTCCATGAAGTAGACACTATTATCTCCATTTTCAGAGTTGAGAAAGTTGAAGCACAGAGTTGCCCAATATTATAAAGATAGTAAGTAGCATAGACAGATTTGAACCCAGGTGGTCAAATGCCAGCCTTCTTATGAGTGTAAGTTTTTAAATAGCTGTTGACTTGGAATTTGGTTTGCAGGTGGCTGTAGCTATAAACTTGGCACTAGGCTTTATTATTATTATTATTATTATTATTATTATTATTATTTGCTAGGCTTCATTTTAAATGAAAAGCTATATTTGGCTTAAGTTTGATTGGTTATAAAAGTTCCCTCAAGCCAGACTGTCTGGCTAAGTTCACTCCGTCAGATCGAAATCCTGAAGAGGGAGCACAATAGTGAAGATGCCCAGCATGTCCTAAGTCACCATTATGCTGTGAAATTTGATTCTGGGTGATTAGCATTGTTGATACAGGAATTCCCAAATAGTATATGAATCTTTGAGTGAAAAATAACTCACTGGTTAAATTCAGGTGTGATAGGGCTGATTCCACATGTTCCTGAAAACTATATATTTTGGGAGAAGTCAAATTTGGATGTTTTTTATTTATACTCTGCAAAAAAGGTTTATTAAGGTATAATTGTATATAATAATCTGTATATATTTATAACGTACACTTTGTTAAGTTTTAACATATGTATATACCTGTGAAGCCATGACCACAAACAGAATGATAAATGTACTCTTTTCTTCCAGAAGTTACCTCATGTCACTTTTTAATTCCTTCCTAATGCTTTTTTCTATCCCTTCCCATCCCTGCCACTCCCCATCTAACCCTAGATAACCACTAATCTGCTTTCTGTCACTGTGCATCAGTTTTTTTAAGTCATACATACTTTATTAAATGCACAAAATTATACACACACGTTTGCTTTTAAAAAATTTTACTACTAGACTATTTTTCAAAAGTGTTAGATTTACAGAGAAAGGAATAGTGTAGAATATTCTTCTGCATCCTTTACATACAGTTTCCCCTATGAACATCTTACATTAATATGATATCTTTGTTATAATTAATGAAGTAATAATATTGATACATTATTATTAACTAATATACATGGTTTATTCCTATATCCTTAGTTTTTACCTAATGCTCTTTGCCCTTTTCAGGATCCCATCCAGGACACCACAAAACACTGTGGTCATGTCTCCTTTGGTTCCTCTTGGTTATGACTGTTCTTAGACTTTCCATGTTTTTGATGACTTTGAGGAGTCTGATGAGGCATATTGGTGGGATCCCCCACCATTGGAATTCCATGTTTTCCTTATGATTAGGCTGGGGCTACAGTTTTGGGAGAAGGAAATTACAGCCATAAAGCACCGTATTCATCATCAAGAATACATACTGTCACCATGACTTACCGCTTTGATTACTGGGCTGAAGTAGCATTTGTCAGGTTTCTCTGCGGCTCAGTTACTCCCCCTACCCCCTTTCCATATCGCACTCTTTGGAAGGAAGTCACTGTGAGCAGCCACACTTATGGGAGTGTTGGGAAGAAAGGAGTTATGCTCTTCCTCTTTTAGGGTGGAATATCTATGTTATTTATTTCTAATTCTGCATGAGAAATTTACCTCTTCTCTCCCTTTTGCTAATTTATTTGGTCTTTTATTTATGTCAGTATGGACTCATGGATATTTATTTCATATTTTAGATTATACTCCAATGCCACTTCATTTTTTTGCTCAAGTTGCTTCAACTTTGGGCATTGAGAGCTCTTGTGTGTGTTTGCATGTATGTATGTATTTTCTTACTCTCTTGCATTACAAGATACTCTAGACACATCTAGTCTATTTCCAGCCCTCCTAGAATTATCACTCCTTTACTGGTAAATGATATCAGAAATGAAGATCTGGGTGCTAGTCACTTTTATTTCTTAGAATTTTATATAATACAACATATGCTTTTTTCTTTTTAAAAAAGTTTTATTGTATTTTATTGTATTTTTTTCATTACCCTTTAACCCCCTTATACCACCCTTTCCCCCGCAATCACCATACTGTTGTCCATAGGCTTTTTTCGTATAGCTTATTTCACTCAGCATAATTATTTTAAGATTTACTCATATTGTAGTATGTGTCATTCATGTGTCCTTTTTGTTGATGAGTAGTAATCCATTGTATGGATATACCATAGTTTATTTATCCATTTACCTGTTGATGAACATTTGGATAAATTTGTTTTTTTGATATTACAAATAAAGCTACTAAGCAAATGTTTTTTTGTCATGATATGTTTTACTTTCTCCTGGGTAAATACTTAGATATGAAA